GAGCGCCTTTATTAGCTGCTCCTCTTTCTCTTTGTCCCTGGTGCACACACACACACACACGCACACACACACACACTCACACACGTGCACACACACACTCACACACGTGCACACACACACACACACGTGCACACACGTGCGCACACACGCACACACAGTTGTGCTTTCATATCCTTGTGGGGACATCTAATTGAATGCTTTCCCTACCCACTTATCCTAACTGTAACCCTGACACTAAAACCTGACACTTCCAACTCGTGAGGACGGGCACTTTGGTTCCCACAAGTACAGCAAACTTCCAAATTTTGTTCTCCACAAAGATATGAGTACATGGTAAACACACACATGTAGACAGCAGGTCAGATTTTGGTGCGTGATGAACTTTGAAGGTGTTGCTCACCTGTCGGGTTCTGACTCTGTCGTCTTTTTACTGCAGTGATCAGTGCAGCCTGCAGAGGGCAGCGTTTCTCAACTCTTTCACTGCCCGTTGTTGCAGCTGCAGTTTTAATGCACTCAGAGCTTTGCTTCCTGATTGGAGGAATCCTGAGCACTTTTCTTCTGCCTGCTTCTTTGTGACAAACCTCTGGAAACCTCGTCTGTCAGGGAGAGACCGCTCTCATGCACGAGACGACGACGATGATGATGATGTATAGGGGCAGGATAACTGCTTTGTTGACTGATCAGTATATGAGATGTTTACCTGAAGCAGCAGCAGCTGATGTTTGTTTGTTTTCTTGTTTTCTGCGCAGGTTAAATGTTAGATGACGATGTGAAGACTTTCAAACTTGCTTCATGAGTTTTATTTCAGCTGTCGGCCCAAACGAGGAAACCCGTGTCTTTAAAATAAGTCCTCGTTGGGTTTTTCTGCCACAGTTATTTCCCAGCAGAGCCGCTGTGTGTTCGGTCTGTCGAGCTGTTGTTTGCTTGGTGACATTTAATCTTTCACTTGATATCTGACCGGAGGATCAAAGTGTTTGCTCAGAGATGCACGCGATATCGCCGTGATGCTTCTTACTGTCGGTGACCTCGCCGTCAATAAGATGGTGACAGGTGCAGAGGCAGCTGCTATGATTGCATTCACATTCATCCTGTTCAAAGTTTCGCTTCTTTGATTGTTGGCCGGAGCGTCGTTAGAGGAATTTAGCCGACACTAACTTCCTGCTCGTCTTCCAGCTCTGGTAATGATGAAGATCAGCTGCTGATGTTCGATCAGAGTCTAAACTGTAACTCTCTCTGTCTCCCTGCAGACTCGGGAACGTTTCCAGATTCCTGAAAAACGTGTCGGAGCCACGATGTGAGGATCCGTCAGAGCCGTCCAGCCTTCGTGGAAGCGTTGGGGTGTGAATGTGTCGGTGGACAGAGCGCGGCGCTGTGACGTCCTGACCGCGAACTTCCTGTCCTCAAGATGAGCGCCTCCGAGCCCGCTAACAGCGTCCCTGTCAGGGGCGCGGGCGGCTCCCGCATGAAGCTTCCTCTCCACAGTGCAGGAGACCACAACGGGAATGCTTTCCCAATTTCGTCTTCCTCCTCTTCCTCCTCTTCCTCGTCCTGCCTCGGGGAGTCGTCTCCCGAGTCGCTGCGGAGTCTGAGCGGGGGCCGGACCGACAGCCCGCTGGACTACGACATGTTCGACGTTACCCTGACGACGGTGAAAACTGTGACTCTGAAGTGTGTCGTTTCAGACTGGGCGCCAGAGGAGGAGCGTAACCCGGACGACGGCGATGACGGTGATGACACCTCGTTGGGGAAATCTCAAACCGTGACAGAGTCCAACGACAACTCCGTGTCGGTTTACCTGGACGCCAACGGCGACGACTACCACCAGGACAGCTGGAACGACAACCTGACACTCGCCCGATCGCTGACAGGAAACGGCGGCCTCATCGACGAGGACGTCAGCAGTGGAAGCAGTAACGGAAGAAGGCGCAGCTCCTCAACTCCAGACTCGGACGCAACAGAAGTCCCTGATGATGATGATGATGATGAAGAGGAGGCGTTGTTTGTGTCTGTGAGCTCTGATGTGGACGTGCAGAGAAGCAGCGCGATGATCGCGAGCTCAGGTAGTCGGTCAGGTGACGGCGTCCAGGTGACGGAGGTGGACGGGCCTGCGGTCCACTGTCCTCCAGAACCGTCCAAAGGGCGTCACACGGATCCTCCAGCCTCTGAAGACCTCAGTGAAGACACACAGACGCCGACTGAAGATGTTAAGAAAACGAGCTCTCCTCCACCTGAAGAGGCTGAAACGGGTGTAGTGGGCTCCAAACCTCCACCCTCCCAGCCTGATGAGAATCCGGCAGCAAGACCCAGACCTGCTCCCAGGTCGGCCGCCTCCACAGCTGCCAAACCGCCCGGTCCAGAAGCGAAGAGGGTTTCCAGAGTGGACTTAAAAGCAGTCAAAGCTAAAGTCGGATCACGGCCCGCCCCCTCCCCACCGAAACCTGCCACCCAGGTACATGGCAGCCAGGTTTTACTGTGCTACACCTCCACCCGACGCTCAGGGTCACTCTGAAATGTTTTATGTGATAGACAACAAGTAATGTAATCACTGATTATTACTGGAACACCTGCACAGGTACACAGAGACCCATATTCAGCATAATCGATGTTAGCGTGTTAGCATGTTAGCATGTTGGCGGGTTAGCATGTTAACGTGTTAGCATGTTAGCGGGTTAGCATGTTAGCGGGTTAGCATGTTAGCGGGTTAGCATGTTAGCGGGTTAGCATGTTAGCGGGTTAGTGTGTTAGCATCGACCTGTAGTCCCAGATTTCACTGAAAGTTTCCTCCAACAAGTCGGTGTAGCAGGAAGTGTAGTGTAGCAGCTCCCTGCACCTGAACACAGGTCACATGGTCACTGACCAGTGTCGTGTCACATCGCATAAAAACCCTCAAAGTAATTTATTACTTGGCTTAGAAAAGAGTAAAGGGCGTGTGTAATAGAAAGCACACAGCAGGCCTTCTTTAAGTGAGCCCAGACTCTGAGCTGTTGTTTATCAGGTGACATAAACACTCTGACATTTTCAAATGTGTCTTCTACTCAGAATAAATCTGCCCCGTCCAATGGGAAGAGAGCTGTGGTGAGGAAGGAGGTGCAGGCTGGTGATGGAGGTAAAAGACAGAGGTCGTCTGCAGGTCCCATCAAAGTGGCTGTGATCAGAGGAAAGAGCAGGAACGTCAAGCCAAACCACAGGAAAGCAGCCGGGGAGCCGACCGTGCCGCAGGAGACGAGTTTATCCGTCAGTCGAACCCTGTCCACTTCGACCAGCTCGCTGGGCTCCGAGGTCGCTGGGGAAAAACGCCTAAATGCTCCCAGGAAGGCTGACCAGGACGTGCCTGATAAATATGGAAAACCTGATGAGGGGGAAGCAAAATGCCCAAGTGAGGAGTGTGTGGAGGAGCAAACGGAGGCTTCGGTGTCGGCAGCCGCTGTGGAGAAACCACGGACGCCTACCAGGGTGAGTATGAGGAAGACGTGAACTGCACTCTTCTGCCTCGTGAGAGTTTAAACGTGTCGTTTTGCACACGAACGATCCGGGAACGCTGGTGGCTCGAGGTGCAAGAAGTAATTCAATATCTGCTTATTGTCGCAGCACATCTGTGACATAACCAAGTGTCTGCATGTGAGGACGGAGGAGAGGCTTCCTCTCTGGAAACGCTTCAGCACATGCAACACACATGAAGCGTGTTTGTATACACACAAGTCTTTTTAAGCTTTTGCTGGGACAGAGCGGGGCTTAAACAGCCTCAGGGTGGATTTGAACATCAGCCCGGGTCGCTGCTCCACCCGGTGAGTTGGTATCGTCACCTCCATCACAGGTGGTGTTTGAGCCACACCGTACTTTTATATCATATCAAAATAAAAGCTGCAAGACCTTAATGTTAAAGTTCCCAAGAAATGTCCGTCTGCAGGGACTCCTGCACGCCGTGGAGGCGTCCAGTCTGACCTGAGCTCAGGATTTACTTTGACTTCGTGTGAAGACGGCATGTGGTGCAACAGGGCGAGCTGGATGCAGCGCTGGCATGAACGTTTCCTCGTCAGCTGATGAGTTTGACACTTGAGGTGATGAAAGATGAAACGAGCTTCCTGATAAATAACTGCGAGCTTTAGCTGCGCTGATGATGCGCTGAGTTTAAAGGAGGGAGCGTGCACGGCGAGCGTGCACGGTCTCTGGTATGTGTTTTTGAAGATGTACTGAGCCTGTGACGGGTGTAAAACCTGCTGTCACAGGCCGCCCCGGGGGCGGGGCAGATACCTGTTAAACGCTGCTGTGCGCGAGTATGAATGTTTAAAGGGACACGTCACCACATGATCATCTGTGCACAGCTTGACTGCACGCTTCCTTCTGCACAGCGATGTGGATGTAGTGTGGCGGGGAAAGTAGTTCCCGTCTGATTAGTAATGAATTCTGCAGAGGAGGGTCACGGCGCAGCGGCGGGCGCAGTTTCATGTCCCGTAAATATCTGGATACACAGACCGCACATGTGGTTTGAGTCGGGCCGACGTGACACTTGAGTTTATTTTGGCAGCGATGAAGGAAACGCTGCTGCACGCGTCCATCTTTTCATGTATTACCAGACAATCAGCTGTGCTGCCAGCTCGCATGTTAACACATGATTTAGGTGAACGCTGCAGTAATCCGCCGCCGAAGGAGGCTCTGAGCTCTCTGAGGTTTCTCATCTGAGTCAAAGCAGCGCTGTTGAACGCTGCTGCTGTGTTAGCGGCTGAGCAGCCGTTTCTACCACACACACACACACACACACACACACACACACACACTCTGCCATAAACTCGCTCCATGTGTGCTCGTGTACTCGGAGGGGGAGGAACATGGAGGGGTGGGGTCGGGGAGAGAAAAAGCTCCTGGCCCGTCCGAGCTCGGGTTCTCGAGGGGAGTGTACGACACAACGGCAACTGTTTTTGCCCTCCTTGTAGTTGCAGCACACTCCCAGTTTCCCTCCTCCTCGTTTCCTTCCCTCCTTTTCCTCCTCCCCTCCAGCTTTAAAAAAATCTCTCTCTCTCTCTCACTCCTCCCCTACCTCGCTGCTTCGCTCGTCCACATTTCTGACTCCGAGTGGGGAATGGCTAACACCATGGTCTCGCTCTGCAGCTCCGAGCTGGGGCCCCTCGGCTGGGACGCCGTCACTAAACGTCAGCTCTTCTTACAGAAAGTCTCCTCCAAGCTGGGACCCAGCCCCAGGCCTCAGGGAAGAGGCACCAGAGCAGACCGGGGGCCCTCGGGACCAGCTCCGGGCTCAGGGACCGGACCTCCAGGTCAGGGGAGCCCCGGACCCAGGCAAGCCCAGACGGATGGCTCCACGCTGGGAAAAGGTGGGCCGAGTGCTGGGAGTGGAGCTCCAACCACCAAGAGTCAGGGTGAGTCAGTGCAGTGCTGTCACGCTCAGCACATACCTGAGACACACACACACACACACACACACACACACACACACACACACACACACAGTGAGTTTGCAGCTGATGGTTTTGCAGAACTTTAATTTATTCAGATGAGTGTGTGTGTGTGTTGTTAGTTCCCTGTTGCTCTTGGAGGAAACACACGGGGATGTTTTTTCCTAGGCTGGTGTTTACTTCCTGTTTGTTCTTCCTTGTTTGTTTGTTTCCTGTAATGATGCGTGTGGAGACGTCAGGCAAACTTAAACAGTGCCGTGTGCTCTACAGGGGCTCCAGTGGCCTGTACTTCCATAACTGTGTGTGAGCAGCTTGTTTTCCAGAGTCACTGAGCCGCGGCGTGTCATTTACATAGCTGAAATGCAGATGTGCCTGTTGTGGATGAAGTATTTGTGTGGAGACTCTGTAAAGGTCACGTTCTGCTGGACAAAAGCTCGTCTGTCCTCGTCGCTCACACTCGGGAACAAACGGACGTCTCTTGACCTGAAGACGGAAATCTAATGAATGGATTCTTCTCTGTGTTTGAGAGTGTGCTCTTTGGATTTTTGCTGCAGGGGGAAATGAGTAGCGCTGAAGTCTTTTTGCTGATAAGGATGCAGCTCGCCTTCGTGACTGTGCGATCATCTGTGAGGTTGGTGGTGTTGTGCTAGCAGCACGTCGCTCCACGTCGCCACAGACACTGGGATGGTCGACTCTGCAGCTTCCAGGTCTGAAAGTTGGACCCAGTACAAGAATGCCTTAAACCTGCATTCTTGTTAATGTCCAGCAGGGGGCGGTGGCGCTGATGTATCACTGTGACCTCAGCAAACACTTTCCTGCTGAGTTTATGATCTGTGGTTAACTGTTGAAACAGATGTGCTCTGAGGACACCTGGTCAGGTGTTCCAGATCACCTGACCAGGTGTCCTCAGAGCACATCTGTAAGGTTTGGATCGGATGACGACACCTGCAGAGATGTAACACATTTCTGAGCTCTCACACAAAACACCTGGATGTACCAGCTGTTTGCAATGGTGTAGTTTGGTAGAGGTGTGTGTGCCTGAGGCTGAAGTGGTCTGAATGAAACCAGGTGAGCCGAGCGTAACGAGCGCGAGCCGCGAGGAGCGAGCAGCGACGTCTTGACTGAACGTTTCCAGCCAT